TGCGAGGATATTTGTTGTGGTGCATGGCGGGACTATTACCTAGTATTATATTATGGTCTTCGTTCAGCGAGATCCTTCCCTTCACAGTTGTTGTCCACCGGACATCCAACAGAAATACTAAGAAGATTGAGTCGTTTTCAGAAGCATTACTATCAACCAGGATTCACAATGGTCGGCGGTGGCTGGATGACAGTGGAGCAAAACACAAGGCTAGAAAAGGATCTCATTCACCCGAATTCGGTTTGGCTTCAAGACCGCGTCGTGAAGTTCGAGCCGAAGAAGAACATGGTGAAGTTAGGGTCAGTTGGTTTTATTTTTCGTCCTTCCTCTATTCAGTCTTTTTGGGAGGCAAACATTCAGGCCTGTCGTAGTCTCTGCCGGGCAGCCCAAAAAAAATTGCAGTGAAGCCCTAAGGGTCCCTCTTTTCTTTTGCGTTGTACCTATGAGACCAGCCATGTCCTTCTTACAGTTTTCGTTGTAGGTGTTAATAGTTGGGGGGAGGTACTGTAGACCGCGCGGCGGTGCAGAGCCATGTTCCTCTGCACCTCTGAAGCTTACTCACTGTTATTATTTCCCAGCGCCATGACAGTTTTGAAATTCAGCGAACTGCAGAATTAACCCATTGAAGGTGCAGACGAATTTAGCCCGCGCCATCGCATGATTCCTCCTCCCTCACCCCTCCAAACTAAGTTAGCACCCAGTTTTCGACTTGCTTTGTTTTCTGATTGCTGTTTTTTTTGCTGTGCCAAGGATGCTGACTTTTAATATGGTACCTATTACAGAAATGGTGATGAGGTTACGTATGATTATATGATTTTGGCCACAGGTGTGCAGCTTCGATGGGATATGGTGAGCTTTTCAATCAGTCAGTGGTAAGATTCAGCTCGAGGTGTTTCTCTCGTGTTTCAGATCAAAGGCCTGCCGGAAGCTTTCGATACTCCTGGTGTCACCTCAAATTATACACCATTTCTCTGCCCGAAGACTAACAAGGAATTGAACACTGTTACGGTAAGACCTTCTTTTTCGGTGCGGGGGACACCCGAGGATGTAAAATGGGGTTTTATTGTGGCCACATTTAGAAAATCGTACTACCGTCAGGGAATTAATGAGTTTAATTGCAGTCCGGTAACTGTGTGTTCACTTTTCCAAACACGCCAATCAAATGTGCCGGAGCTCCACAAAAGGTGTTGTACTACGGTGAAGAGATCGTCCGTAATCGTGGTTACCGTGATAAAACGCACTTCATCTACGCTACTTCTTTACCACGGGTGAGTAAACCTTTGAAATGCTTATGTCTAACCCTTCTCTTTTAACCCTGGGTTTGTGAGCGTGCTTTGTGAGTGGGTTATTGCGGTTTGGATTGCTGGCCACCAAGCAATCGCTGCTTATGTGCCGTCTACCTGGGGGCCCACCTGTGGCTGTCCTTCTGCTATCAGCACCACAACAGCCTACCGATAATCTCAAAGCGCGCTACGCCGTTAGAGGTTCATTGCTAAGCAATATACCGCGTCAAGTACCTGA